GTAACCCCCCCCCCCCCCCCCCCCCCCCCCCCCAATGGAAGTGTGTGCATATGGATTTGTAGGGTTCGATCCAAGGAGCAATTTTGCGAGTTTTTTTTTAGGGTAGTAGTAATGTCAATTCCCCTGAAAGTTGACCACCTTCATCACCGTGGCCAAGACTATCTGGCGAGTAACGGTCGTCTTTCATCATTTTAAGCTTATGCATTCGTCTAGGAACTCCTCCAGCCTTCTGGAGCAAGTCTCATCCGGCTCTATTGGGATTTAGTCACATTGAATCACTTTTGCGTTACGGTAAGATATCCATTATTAAGGCCGTGTAATCAGTGATGGGCCAGGAAAACTCATAAAAACTAAGATATTTTGTAGCTTGAACAGCTCTGAAGTACGTATGTGCTTGCATGTTGCTGGCCTATGTCATTACAGGGATGTGCGTGCTATGGAAGCACAGCTGATGGACTTTCTATGCGCCGCGGCCCATCATTGGGAACCGGTCCATCGCTGGGTGCTTTTTTTTTATCCCTGTCGGGTAGCGACATTTGCGTGGTCGGTGATTCTTTCCATGGCTGATTGACCCTGGCGTCGCCTTCTTCATGCTTCGATCTTGGCTTGTCAGGCGATGCTGGCCGCGGTGAAATGATGAGGGTATTATTAGACAGGAGTCTCTTCACGTGGGACGGGATTCAACTCTATTGACCTGAGGCTAAGTCTTGTAAGAAGTCGTCTTGATCTCCCTCACGAGAAGTCTTTATATTCACCTTTTTTTTCCTCCGTTTTTGGATTATCGTACAGCGTCGGATTAGCCATAAGGTAAAGGATGTTCTGACATATTTTCAAGACGATTGGGAAAATGCCGGATGGTAAATTCCCGGCGGTGGCATGCCAGAAGGACTCCGCTTCACTCCCGGATTCGTTGCTAATTTAAATAAACGTCCACTGCGCACATCTTACCTGATGCTTTTCTTTGAAACGAATGAGCGCAATGTCGGCTGTTTGTGCTCTCTTCGTCATCATCATGCCGAACTTCGTTCACGGAACTGTCCCGCTTCGAGGCAAAGGAACTGGGAGTGATTTTCTTGCACTATTTCGAATATTTCAGTTTAAATCCCTAATCCGTTCCTAATGATTGCTGGGTATTTTCCGGAGATGAAGAGTTGAAAGGCCAAATGGGATGCCCCAATGAGATACCAAACGAGATGCCATTATTAGATGCCATAATTAGATGCTGAATGAGCTGCTAAAATGAGATACCAAATACCGAGAGGCCTCTGTGACAACCTATGATTTTGCCACATGCTTGCAACCATACCCTTGAAGCCAGTTTTACGTGTTTGCGTAGGGATCAGGATGGAATGTGCGCCTCAGAAGCGAGACCGACGAAGGGGAAATGGAACGGAGCATGAGAATCGCTGGAGCAGCGAGGCAAAACCAGGATATTTGCGGAAGAACTTTCCCCGGCAGAAAATGAATCTTTGGAAGACTCGCGGGACGGCGGTCGACGATCCGCGAAAGGCGACTCCGATCGACCCGCTTCGTGGAAAATCGCGTTGGAACCCCATTTTTCCTCGAGTGATACTCGGTGGTGTGTCGGGGTTTCACTTTCTTCGTTTCGGTTTTCCTGCTCATTTTTAAATTTCAATTCCACGGGTTAATTTTTCGTTTCAGCGTTTTCGATGAGAATCGCAGACCCAGAGATCGAATATTGCTATTGCGAATATTATAGGTTCTCTGCAATGGCTGCAACGACTCGGAGCGACAGTACTCACCATCGAACAGGAGTCAACAACCTTGGGTAATAACAACCAACGCGAAAAGCCTTAAAAGCATGTCAAGCAGTCATTTGTGCAGTTGCGCGGGCAAGCCCGATGTAATTCCCCGGTTGCACGTTATCGATAATGGTTAATTTTCGACTGAAATGGTTCATTTTGAGCCTCTACTGACCGATTAGGCGCCCTCGAGCAACACGGCTGCTTCATTTCATACATTTTCAAGATTCTGTATTGAACCCCGTTAATCCAGGTTGCAATTAGAGTTCGCCGTCGCGGAATTGAGGTTGCTCGTCGCAAAACTAATTAGGTTTTTTCGCGGCAGAATCAATTATTGTTCACGACCTGACTCAATTAAAAATCCTGGCCGCGAATCTTAAGGTGTCAAGAAAGACGATAAGCGAAAGGTCGCGAATCGAAACTACGAATCGAATCGATCCGATTCTTCTTAAATCGAGATTCATCATCCAGGTCGATTACCAAGTTCCCGATGATTCATCTCTAATCCTTCCTCTAATCCCTATGTCTAATCTTACACCGAGTCATCAAATCGCAGAAATCGCAATAAAGCAAGTAAACAAAGTTCATATTCCCTCGGGGAGATGATGGAGGCACACGAAGTCGAATTACCTCGAAATTCCCATTTTCTTCTCCTTTCGAGCGTGGCTTTCTGCCTTTTGGCCTCCGCGATGGACGAGGTGGGAACGTCTTTCGCCGTCTGGTGCCATTTCGAGTCTGAGGAGACTCGCGCAAGAAAATTTTCAATTTATAAAAAATTTATTGGGACAATCCTAAAAAATAGTCTGACGGCAGTAACGATGCTTGACATTCCAAAGTTCTTCCAATTTTCTTTGAGCGAAAATTTAATCCTTTAAGGGATTTGCATCAAACCGGCCCGTTCCTATTCATTGTTGCTGTGCATTGTTCCTGCAACGCTGATTCTTCCTGGGGACTACGGCGAATGTTGAGGGAAAGAGCGTAACGAGGATAAAAAATGCAGATGGGACGATGGCATTTGGAGTCGATGCATGCAATATTGACGGGGTATTAGCTGGCTTTGGGGCGAGGGACTCAAGGGCGAGGAGGCTAGCTTGCAAGCAGGAGGCATTGAGAATGAATGCATGCGTTGCTTCGAGGGGATGGAAGTATGCGCCGCATCATGGGGATGAAGATATGCGCTGCTTCTTTGGGATGGATGTATGCGCTGCTTCGTAGGGATGGATGCATGTGCTGCTTTGCTGGGATAGGGTGAATCCATAGAGTCTGGCGAGTTTTCCCTTTCCTACTACGCTGTTGCTTTCCAGATGATGCATCGATCGATGTCTAGGAGCGAAATGGCTCCCATAAGGCCACGAACTGTTTTATGGCTTTCTTAAGTCGTTATACTTTTTGTGCGACTCGGAAAAAGTTGCGATTCGGAATCCCGTGTTTCATACAACCACTTAGTGGAACGATCCGGGAGACACTTGGAATGGGGTATATGAACGTATGATTATACTGCTGTCAAACTTTTATTCCTGTATGAGACCAGTATATTTTGAAGATTCTCCGCAATTTTCCATCGTTTTCACACAAGCACTGTGGAGAAATGGTGGATAACGTGACCTATTCACTTACCGATGAAACTCCGTGGCTTACAAGGAGACTGGGTTATAAATTGTGCAGTTGATGAATCTTGAATTGACATGGAACTGGAGAAATCGAACATGTCTTCCGTTGCATTTCTCATATCCCGGATTAGTCAATGAAGTGTAAGACAAGGACTTTCCTTCATGTCAGGCTAAAAAAAAAAGTTGCTTCTTTCTAGAGTATTCTCTCGGGCCTAGAGGACCTTGTAGTCCCCATTCATGAGGTATGCAGGTCTCCAGTCGGAGACACTGCATACCTCAGGCAGTACAACTTAAAAAAAAATTGGCATTGTTATCTATTGATACAAATTTTGAAGGATCCTGAGAATTCCGGAGGATTCTTAAATAGTGATGAACACTTTCTCATGCCAGAGAACGTTTTAAGCTTGAATTTTGAGTGTAATAGTAATATTGCCTCAGAATTCCGGTCTGAGAAGAATTCTGAATGTGGGCGTAATTATGTCAATTTTCCACGAAATCGTTGATGCTAATAGAGCCATGAGCTTATAATCATAGTAGCCTGCAAAAGCTCGTGTAGGGAAAGACATGATCACGCACCCCTATTACGAAAGGGAGTAGGGGGATAATGAGGGATTGCGAGAATCTCTAATGTCCCCGTCTTAGTTTTCGACGATGAAACTTTTTTTCTACTTGGAATGGAATCCACCCGAGATTTTCACAGAGCGTTTTTTGGCTTCATGAAACCCGAACGCAGCGAAGCCGACGGGCATCGCGAAGCGTGGCATTCACGACATTCAAGTGACCCCGCAGAGCCAGGCAACGCATCACTAGATCGCGTATGGGATGAATCCAGAAAGCAAGCGTCATCCACCCGACCTTTTCGCAGGGGTCTTTCTCCTCCAATTCCTTCGCAATGACTCAGAGCGGAGAATGACTGCCCCGAACTGACATCCGTCGAATCGAATGACTCGTAAAGCGACAAATCCCTCAGTTTACTCTTCGCTGGGATGCAAGTGAGGAAAATCTTCAGCACCCCCTCTGTTAAATTTCAGGTGCATGAAAGACCCTCCATATTACTTTGAAATCCTCTCTCCAGCTCGTCCGTTTCGGTCTCTAAGTCTCGTGCAATACTTGCATTACCAAAAGGAGAGATTAGACAGTAATGAGGATCTCAGGGAGCATTATAGCTTCTCTAAGGTGATTCCAGGAATTGCAGATCCTCATCTGACAGCAATCTCTCAACATTATCCCAAACTTCCTCCTTCACCCTGAATTCTCGTGTTGCAACCACAGACTCAAGTTACGTTCGCAAATGACAAAAGATTTCGCAATTACTTCAATTCTCGCTGTAGCCGGTTATGGTGGGTTCATCCTGCGAATCGTTCATTGCACAGCTTATAGTAAAATCATATTATAATTTTCGATTTTGTTTTATTTCGGATGTTAGAAGCTTGTACCTTGAAGTGCTTCAAATTTCATATCTCTTGTATTATTGCGTTTTTGACGGCATTAATCAAGCTTTATTGCATAGATTTATTCAGAGCGCGTTACGGCTGCCACTATACTCGTTCTGATGGAAAATGCATGAAATTCACGAGGATTCCTTGGCCCAAGACATATCTCCAGGTCTGATCCTGTCACCGAGCTCTGACCAACTCGTCTTCGACCCACCCCGCCTAAACCCACTCAGCTCGAGTTGAATCCTCAAGTCACACTTTTTCCTTTGACTGAGGTTAAAGCGATGAGCGAGATCCCGCAGGAGAAGATGGAAGGTGGAGGGCACAAAGACTTGTTCATAGATTACCCTCGCCCCTTCCCGACCGCGGCAGAGAAGTGGGAGGTACCGACGGAGGAGTTCCTCGAGGCTTCATCCGGAGTCGTCACCATTCTCGGTATGACTTCTTTCTTTCATGTTCCTGTTTCAGAATTTTCTTCTTCTTATGTTCTGAATTATATTTGAATAATGGTGCAGCACATACGAGTACTATATTGTTGTTTTCAACAATTCCATCGTGATTTACAGCTCAATGACCTTCATCGATTTTTCCTTAACGTTTTAGACTACTCTAGCTGAAGTATTTCAATCAATCAATCAATATTCGTTTCTGTAGGGTGTTTTCTTTAACTTTGGGACCAAACGAAGTCATTTTGAGTGCCCCTAACTTCTGTAAATCGAATTTTTTACTAGAAGCTCAACACATGAGTGGTATTCACTTGGATGGGTGATTACTTTTCCTCATACAAAATAAATAAAGACATACCTTTGGAACACATTTCTCAAACTCTGCAGTCTAATATAAGACTTTGATGCTTGAGGATTCAGTTAGACTTGGTTTCAGAGCAAGTTTTATTCTGCCTGAAATACTTGTGACTTGTGACAAGCACTGACTGACACATTGATGTTAACTCGACATCAAGATTCAGGTGTTTTCGATTTTTCCTCGAGTACAAGAAAAATTCAGGCTGAAAAGGGTTAAAGCTAGAGTCCAGTACTTCTTTCGCTTGATTTCTCTACTTTTGTGGGCACGTCATTCCTTCTTCTTATCGTCAGTCTTTCTGTCAGCATTTTAATAACTGTCTTCCTTAGTGCCATCTTCATCATAACGCATCTGACCTTTAAAATATTTGAAAATGGTATTTCATTCGGCGTAGTCTAAACATATAGCGTCGATTGCATTTTTCTTCTTTCAGATTCATTAGGCGTACTGTTCTATTTTCCCCGGAGTGATGTAAACACGAATGTAACGGTAAGTAATTTCATCAGTTCCCATTCACGCCTTCTGTTCCTCCAGAGCATTTACATTTTGTGAAGGGTCTCTGTATAGCACCTGAAAGAGTTCTACGCAAAGGACAGGGAGAAGTATTCCACGCTCAAATCCATTGTTGAGTCTGAAGGAAGCATCGAGGGACCAGGAACGCACCGTCTCCTATATCTGAAAAGGTTTTGCAGCCAGTTTGTTAAAATATGTAAACTAATGGACATTAAAAGATGTAACAGAATCATGAACGCATGATTTCTTCTTGAAGGGTCTCAAGGAAAGTCAGACTCAAAAGTGCAAATGTGTATCTGACGTGCTTCTTCAAGAAAGTCCAGTAGAGTCCATTCAATCGAATGAAAAGAAGTGTATAGTTTGATCAAATGAGGTCTCATGATGGCAGGGGGTTGGAGTTGACCTTCCTTTTCTTCCGCTACGTACTTGAGGACTACGACACCGGGGTGAGGTCGGAGGGGACGCAGGACATCATACGAAGGGCCTACGAAGAAACCCTCGAGAAGCATCATTTGTGGATCGTCAGGAACACCGCTCAGGTCCCTTCCGTCCGGTCTCTCTCCACTGTTGTCTCTTGTGATGCGTGCGTCTTAGTGCATGAGGCTCGTAATAGTCGGATGGGACGTTCTCATGAAGCTCACTTGGTACCTGCAGCACTTCGAGGCTCTGTTCATTATATATACGTCAATTACAGTATAACTTGAAAACTGTTTTAACTAAAACTTGCTGGTGAAAAGGAAAATTGCAAAGAGCTGAGACGAACTTTTCTTGCACACTTTCTTCAATTCACCAAATAAATGGGTAATTGGGTCGGTCATGCGTGAAGTGCACGTGGTAACTTTGAAAAGTAATGGCTGCTGCAATGATCTGAGTGATACTTCATAGCTTTACATGGCTCCAAATTTTTTTAGGTTCTGGTATTTTTATGAGAATTTAATTATATACGATTTTTTGGTAATATTAAGCACCATTACAGAGCAGCATTACAGGCTAGCTTAAACCTAAACTACTGTCTTACACTGTCTAGATTTATTTAAGAAAAATAAAGGAAATTAGCTGTCTTCATAACGAATCCGCATTCAGTAGAGCTCAAAGAAATACTGTTATTAAAAAAAAAAAGGATTTTTTAGAAACTCTATTATTCCAAGAAATTCTAATATAGGAAGCATTACCATACCAGTAGCGTGGCAACCAAAATTTGGCGAGTGGCCGAACGGAACACCTCTTATTTATTTTATTTTTACTCATGGCTCTGTTGACCAGGCTCGTAGGCATTATAATTTTTTTCCCACAGATGCTCTTCAGCATCGCACCTAGCCGCAATGGAATGATCAGCTGCCTCACATACGGCGGCGAAGGGCCCGAGACCGAGAAGCAGGTGATGGAGAACATGCGCGCCTGGCTGGCCAATTTCTCTCCTTGCCTCGAAGAAGTCAAGGACTTGTTCAACAGCAAGGGCTTGGAGTCCGAGGAGTCGGTCGTGGAATCCGCAGAAAATTAGCATTTTTTATTAATTTTTTTTATTTTGTAGGGTTATTTTTGGCCATCACTCCATTTTCCGTTTATTCTTCATCATAAAAGGAGGTCTTTTCTTTATTTAAAAAAAAATTATTATTTTTTCCTTTTATTTCGCAGAAGCATCCTCTAAGAGTTTCCAATTCCTGTAATCATCAATGAATGCCGATTTTATTCTGGTAGCGATAACACATGCAGTAGTGTTGATTATACGTCCACAAAATAAAATTTAAATGATAACAATTATCACTTATTTTAGCGTTCAATTTTCATGATAAAATTTAAGTTTAGCTAGTGGCAAGGTTGTACATACGAGGATTAGGAGTAGCGGAGGATCAGTTCGGCATTATTTTAATCGTGTACCACTTTTGCACGGGTACTGAAAGCACGTTCCGTGAAATTATTTGAATTGCACACCGTTGCCATTCGCGCATGCCATGTCCTCAATTATGAGTAAGGAGGATCAGTTCGGCATTATTTTAATCGTGTACCACTTTTGCACGGGTACTGAAAGCACGTTCCGTGAAATTATTTGAATTGCACACCGTTGCCATTCGCGCATGCCATGTCCTCAATTATGAGTAAAAATCTCTTCTGATAAATTTAACAAAACTATAGCAGCCCTAGCAAAGTAAGGCGTAAACAAAACGACCAACGTAATTGTGTCTACCGTAAAGTATGTAAAAAACAATTTCCCTTTTCGGTACGTTTGGGAGCTCAACGTACGGTAGACAATGGCAGAGCCGGCTCTGATGTAAGAGGAATCAACAAGCGTTTTCTACGAGTGATTCTGCATGACTGTCAGGAAAACAAAGAGAAAGAAAGACGGAGAAGAACTTGGCTTTTTCCCATGCAGGAATCAAAAATGAACAAGGCGAACAGAATCTCCAATCTCAGCCGGAAGACCCCATCCCCGGAGCCACCTCCTAAGTTGCGCCCCGTGGGGAGTCGGATTGACTCATTTACTCGTCTTATCCCCTAAAAATGATGTCATTTTCACAGTCGGCGCTGAGCAAGTTTCTCCTTTTCCCCAAGCTCCACTAGACCCATTTATGTCATGGTTGAATTTAAAGTCCGCGCGCACTTCTGCATCCTGAGTTTCAAGCAATCTCTTTCTGAGCCCAGGTCCCACTTATCCTGCGCAACTGTATTCCCAGAGTAACTTTAACACCTGCTTTGAAAGTATCGAGAATAATGCAAGAATGGTAATCTAGCAAGGCAATGAAGGTGGTTTTGGAAAAGTTACGCCACATTTTTCCTTTGTAACCTAAGTTTCAGAGCAAGCTGTTTAGAATTCAAAGACAAATTCAAGTGAGCAAGCAAACTGACAAGCGTTTTCCACAAAAGTAATGTTTTTCAAACATTAATGTTTGAAAAACATTAATGTTTTTCAAACATTACTTTGTGTGGATTTGCTCCGAGGGAATTCGCGGTGCTTCCATGGGATAAGTGTATGATTTCTGCTCATTAATACATTTACACTCAGAGAAATCGGTAAATCGAGATGAAATACTTTTCTCAATTTTCGCGTTTCGATTTATTTTTCTCAAGAGAAAAAGACATCAACCGGATTTTCGATTTATATCTCTCGCTTCCCGACCGTGCAGGGTCGCCTGAAAGGCGTTCGCAAAACCAAAATGCGTCTATAGCCGAGTCTGAAGGGTTTTTTGAGTGGCAGCGCATCGTCTAGACACATGTTAACCTCCGTATTCCACTTCATCGTGCCTAGGAAGCCCTCCGTCCCTCCCTTCCCCCCATGAACCCTCGGGGCAGTGCATTGACAGCCGAGGGATTCACACGCAACCGCCTGAGTGCATGGCCTCATCGCAACTTCACCTTTCCTCCGACCCGTGCGAGTAGCTCGTGCGTCTCGAAGGGATTCCCATGTTCCCGCTTACTTCATTCTTCGAGTCCAGTTTCATACGGTGTTTGTATTCCGTTTGGTGCGTTGGTGGTGCAACACGTATCGCCAATATGAGAACCGATTGGATAGGTGAAATTTCAGGTTGAATTCCTCAGCAATCTCAATCTCCGGGTCTCCCTCCCATGTTCCCGCTTACTTCATTCTTCGAGTCCAGTTTCATACGGTGTTTGTATTCCGTTTGGTGCGTTGGTGGTGCAACACGTATCGTCAATATGAGATCCGACTGTTAAATATATATTTTTAACAATCCTTTAAGAATACATGGATTCCTATGGGAAAAAAAGAGCTCCTTCGCTAAAAGCCCCGTTGTCTCCCCTGAATGAGGTTCTTGTATTCGGGCTTTAAGCTCAAAAGCCGCTATATTCCCACAATAGGACATGCAAGGCAAATTTCGATGTGGCTGAAGTTCATCACGAAATGTTCAATGCGGCAGAATATACCAGACCTATACACGCAGAATCAAATTAATGCATTTTCGTCGAGAAAAAAGTTGTCCTCCATGTGATGCGTTTTTATCGCATCGCATTGATGCGATAACCGCATCAAAAATTCGATGCGATAAAGACGCATCACATGCAGGACAGATTTTTTCGCGAGAAAAATGCATCGAATTGAGGCACTGAATTTTCTGTGTGTGGACAAGTGGACTTTACCTCCTCTGAGGATTCGCTGAATATTCAAGTTATCAATAGAACGAAGCAAGCGAAACGGATGCTGGTACCGTTACCGTCTTCGAAGTGGATTGGATTCTCAAGTCCTTTTTTCCGAACTATTTTTGTTCATTATATGATAAATAAAACTTTCGTTTTCATTCCCACGTGTGTCGCGTTTCTCGATCTTTCATGGTTCCAACCATATTTGTTTACACATGTCAAACTAAGTTATGGTAATTTTTTACGCATACTGGCAGGTGTATCACACTGTGCCTCAGCATCTCTTTCATGCATATATGTTCCATCGTCAACTGTAGGTCAAACTTTGACAGTAGGAAGACTAAGACTAGTTGATGAGCCGTGACAAAATATACTTACTTCGGTAGAAGGCCGAAAGTACAGTATATTCTACATCAATAAGGTTTAGCTGATAAGGCCAACGCGTAATTCGATTTTTAACCAAAATTAGGATCTTCTCCTGTGCAGCATTTGTCTCGCGAAATAAAGTATGGAATAGTGTCACAGAGTTGCAATTATCTTGAATTGCAGCATATTTCACTTTGCAGCTAACATGGAAGATAGACACGGACTATTGCTATCTTACCTTGGACTGCGAGGAGATCGTAAAGTGAAGCTTCTTGAAACCTTATGTCTCTCTTGGACGAATGAGCTGACAGAAAAACGAGAAGAGCTGCAGAAAAGCTCAACCCTGCATCATCCAACTCCGCTCGTTGCCTTCATGCAGGAAATCATTGCAACAACTGGAGCTTATCGAGAGATGAAACTTCCTTTACCTGAAGCACTTGGACGGGAGGAAGCTGAGGAACATAAACAGGTGACACATTTTGTGTTCTACCTTATTCCTTACAATTTGTGGAGAAATGTATATTGATATACCTTTGTAACAAAAGTTAGAGTTCCATTCTCGCCCTGAATGAATCGGAGAGCAGAAAATTCAAGAAGTACATGCACAATAAATTAATTTTTGTCAAAGTAAGATTATTCGTCGCTTAGAATAAGCTCCAAGACGATATATTGAATATTTATTAAATAAAAAAAGGATCAGAGCGGAAAATATTCTTAACGCTAACTCGGTTATCCAACATCAGTCCAAAAAAGGATTGGGGAACAGACTTGCAGAATACTATTTGGGGAAAACTTGATAAGATTTGATTTAATATGATCAGAATGTTGGAACGAATATTCCAGAGAGAACGGGTTTAACGTTCATGACCTTGAAAAACTCCGAGGAAAGGATGAAAGCCATAATTGGCTGCCTGTAACGCTATTTTGTTCGCTTACGCGCGCTTCCCAGTTCTTTTCCATATCAAATTCATTTCTTTTACTTGACCACCGCATAATTGTCCTACACGAACTAAGCCGATGCGTGATTTTGAAATAACGTACTCTTGGTTCGCACTATTGGCTCATTCTGCGATATATTTTATTAGTTTTTATCATGTCCATTTGCTGAAATCAATGCTGCACTTTCATGTTGGTATTTCTTGACATTTTCGATTAATATTATTGCAGTCCGCATGAGGACGTGCTTCCCTGTGGTCATATCCAAATCCGTATAACAAGCATTTCGAAAAATTTTCAACATGCCATATTAAGCTAATTTATCATTGTATTCCAAATACCATCCTATAACATTTCAAAGACAAGCGGAATTCCGATGCTGCCGCTGAGTTTGATGGTTCTACTACGTATTGAATGTCATTTTCAATAAACAAATTCTCATCAAAACCTTTATCGTGGAATGCTAAGATAAATGCTTGCGATTTTATAACCCAACGAGGTCTACCATTACAACTAATCTAAAGTTTACAAATCATAACCCTCAAAATTGCCATGTACAGGGTGCCAAACAATGATAGCCCCCCCCCTCCCCAGAGTAAACGAAGCCTGGTAGGAAAAAAATGAAAATACCAATAGGTAGCACAATTTATTGTGGGTTTATATTTACAAGCTCAATAT